GGTGTAAATAATATTTTGTTTAGTACATGATTTTGTTAATTTTAGTTTGATCAAATGCTTTAATATTTTTTGTCCATTCTTTTTAGGTTGATTAATAGACATTGTTAGCTTGTATATACATTTTAGTTCATATTTTTAGGAGTTAATTTTAGGTGATTAGTTTAGGTGAGAACAACATGAACAAAATTAGGGTTTAAGTGATGACTTAGGAGAATTGAATCATTCCCCTTAGGACTTAGGGATTGAATATTTTAGATATGGGACTATAGGGACTATGGGTAGTTATTAGATCCCTTAGAAATCACTAGGATTCCCCTACTGCTATTATTACTGTCTATATTTGTTTGACTGGTGTGGTGTGCCCTCTGGGGATTTTTGTTTGTCTGTGTGGGTATTGGGATTGTCTGGGGATTGGGAGAGCTGAAGACTTGTGATGAGGGAGCCATTGGAGATCCAGAGACTGAAGTCCAACTTCCAGAGTTGAAGAAGAGAATCTTGCTAGCAGCTGTTGAGGAGACTAGGGTTTAGGAGCTAGGCAGAGCTCTAGATTAGAAAGCTTGTTTCTCAAACATGGAATACCTTGTCTGCATCCATCCTTTCTCTATGATTCAAAGTCTCTTTCAAATATCCACCTCCTTCCTTTGGAAGGATCAGTGAATGTATTTGAAAGATAGAACTTTTGAGAGAAGATTGTCTATATAATGTTAACAGTTGATGAACCACCCTTGGTAGGTAATTGACTGTCTAACATCCCTTCACTTCATCTGGTTGACTGATATTCCTCTTGTAGATTGAGACCTGAAGAAAAGCCATTGCAGATGGAAGATTGATGACCAAAGCCCTTGCTTGAAGGTTGTGGAGAGGGAGATTGATGCTTGCTGAAGCTTGTAGCTGATTTGAAATGACTTGAAGTCAGATGTTGATTCAGAGCTGCTGATGCTGTTTATTTTTGTTGTATTTCATTTCTGATGTATTGATTGGTTTTCTGGACTGTATTGTTTGCTGTTTAACTTGTTGGGTTGAAAGTGAATGCTGTTCACTTTTGCCTATTGTTTTCTAGGTTCGAGGTTGAGTGGGACTCCCTTGCCTCGCTTGTATTGCTGCATCCATGCATTTTACTGCTTTACTGTATATATCTGCTATTATTTCTGTTTCTGTCTATTCCCTTAGGATCTCTGTTTCTCTCTGCGCGAGAGAGGAGCATGATAGACACTAGGTTTTAACCCATGCATGATAACAGTAGGTTAGTTTGATTCCCTTCGCAACCATAGATTAGAGTTCTGTCTCTTCTTTCTCAAAACAAACAGAAAAACACAATAAATATTTCAAACACAATAAAAGACACTTCTTCCGTAAAAGAATGTGAACTCATCAAAACGTCATTTTTGTCCGCTTGGACTGTTAATCAGAAAAACCCTTTTTCAGAAGGAATAAAAAACAATCAAGACAGACTTGTGTCGTACGTGGCCCGAACTACGTTTGCTCTGATCTTTCATGCTATATGAAAGTACGTAGGCATAGGATGCGATATCCTAGCGAGCAACCTTCCCCTCCTTTCCCGTAGGTAGGCGAACTACGTTGACTCTGATTTCTCGTTCCAGACGGGAATACGTAGGCATAAAGTGCGATACTTTGCCGAGTCATTTTCTTTTCTTTTTTAATCCTGACCTGTAGAGTAGATAGAATAACAATCCATACCCGAAAACAAGCGTGGATCCCGTCGAGTACGACGGACGTGAGGGGTGTTAATACCTTCCCCTTGCGTAACCGACTCCCGAATCCAGGTTTTGGTTGCGACGACCATACCTTTCCCGTCTTTGTGAGAGGTTTACTCTGAGCGTTTCCCTTCCCTCCCGTGGGATAAATAACGCACGGTGGCGACTCTTCTGTTCAGCCGGCGCCGATTTTCGCAGTAGCGACAAGTGTCGGGCTCAGACTCATCATCAACATGGATAATGCATTCAATCCTTATAGTCATTTTACCTGAAAACCAGAGGAAAACAATGAATTCGATTCCAAGATCAAATCCACCCTTCCACCACAAATCAATTGAAATGGCAAAGAGAGAGACGGGGAAATCAGGGGATCATGGGCCCCTTCCCCGACGAAGGCTTCTCCTAGAAGAAAACCTACGACAACACGGGGACCATAGGCCCCCTCCCCGACATGCGAGGCTCCCCAATCGAGGTGACCCTGACACGCGCGGGAAGCCCTTGCTTGAACCTCCCCGTGACAGCCACACGCTCGCGAGGAGCTAAGGTCCTGGAGGCATTTATTCTAGCTCCCCGGGACCTTCATCGCAAGTCCTCGGGACATTCATCGACATCTTCATGAATTTTCCAGAACCCTCATAAAGTTCCCGGCGTCCTCGCCGGAAACTTCATATCTTGGCCAAAAACTTTGTGAGACACATCGAAAAATTCATAGCTTCACCGGAAAACTCATAAAACTACACAAAGGAGGTGGAAACTTACTTGTGAGAGGAGGATCTGGACGACGGAGATCGGTGACGGCAGTAGAAACGACGACGACGACGATAAAAGCTTATAGAGGATTCCGGTAGGTTTGAGGAGCAAATATGCAAGTAAGAGATAGAGGGTTTCCCCCTATTTATAAGCCTGACACGGGAAGCGAGGCAGCACTAGGCACTTAAGTGTCCTACGCGTACCCGCCCGTAGGCTTTAAATGCACGCGACACGTGGCGCTAGGGGACACCACGAGCGTCCCTCCAGCTTCCCCTTGTGCATTTTTTTTCCAGCTCCCCGACACGCAACCTCGTCGAGCATCTGTCACTCCTGGCTGCGCATACAATGCTCAACTCTGTATGTCGGGCAAACCACCATCCCCTGGACTGGTCCTCGACGCCCTAACTCACTACTCCTACGCTTAAGAGCAACGACTTAGGGGGCTTCTGTTCTGGACTAGGTTAAGACTTGTCCCATAGACGGGCAGACCCAACCCAATACTATGTTGGGGAGGCCCAACAAGGTCCAATCCTCCTCTGTCGGGCACGCGCCTCAACAAGACACGTCCGTCGGGCAGAGCATTACCTTGTCGGGGAAGCTCACACACTTCCCCCACGGACTCCACGTGCCCCCCACGCGGGGACATGTCATTAGGCAATTACCCACTTTCGAAAGATTTGGTCAACCCACCTTCCGAAGATCACGGGGCAGTTGATCCAGGGTGAAGACCACGTGCTGGTCTTCCCTACGCCACGTAAGCCCTGACAATTAATTGTGTTAGGCTTGACAATCCGACACAATGCAATGTAACTGTTGGCCCTGCGCTGTGAACACATTATAAATATCCTCTTTCACTATATGGTCAGATATCTTATTTTCTACATCTATACTCTTTGTACTTACTCTTTCTAAAAATTTTGTTACTCACTTAAGCATCGGAGTACCTTGCAGGTACATCCCCCTCCTTCTCTACAACGCCGGTGAACACAAGAGCTCGCGACACGTGGCATGCTACTCATTCCTTTCTAATCATGTGAGATTAATAATTAAGTTAATATTAAATGATATTAAAAATGCTATTGATTAATAATAATTTTATTTTCACTAACAAAAATTAGTTTTTCTTTGAGCCATTCTTAAATTTTGATAGTGTTTTTTAAGTGAAAAATGAATATTTATTAATTTGATAAAAAATTGTCATTTTTTAAGGATTTAGCCGAATAAATATTAAACCGATCAAATCTATTTGATTTATCCGTCAAACCGATTTAACTGAATTTGCAAAAAATCAAAATTTTATCGGTTAATATTGGGTCTTTAAAATAAAACTGTGATTTTCGTCAAATTTAAATTTTGTACTCGATATCGACTCAAACCGACCGATTATCCACCCCAATAAACTATAAACTAGTACTTCACAAAAATTGGTGCACATTTTTTATAATATGTACAGGATAGTATTACAATTTGTACCTAATTGGAAGCAACAAAATAATTAAAATATATTCAAACGCATTGAAAAGCCACATGCAACAATATGTATATATGCAGCAGCAACATGAACATCAATAAGAAGTAACTTTCGTGACGAAATCAGACTCACAATATCATTCCACTTTTGTCAAACAACTTTTAAGGAATAAATTCCAAATGATCATGGGTGGCTGGCTTGAAGAAACATTTTATTAATCAGCTTTAGGGTGTTTCAATGTTAGAAAGAAAAATAAGAACCCAACAAATGGAGAAGAAAACAGAGCCAACTTCTTCCCTCTCCCATCCGCAACAAGCAGCGTCAACTCCTCCTTGCTACACCCAAAGCAACCTCAACCTCAAGCATTGTAAATGATGTTTTAAATTAGATCAAGAGTGGATAAATTCTTGCTTGGTCAGTTAGAGGTGATTTTTCAAATAACCGAACCTGCATATTTTTCTGATCTGGCCAGCAATAAAGCCATGTATCAGAACTCAGAAGGGTGGATAGTAATTGCAATGTTCTGTTTCTAACGACATAAGCCAATAAATCAGCAGCTACTGATGCAGCAGCAGCCATAAACCACAATTGATGTTCTGTTGAAAATTTTCTTTCCATCATGAGAGCTACATTTCTCTGAATCCAGATTTATCAATTATCATATTTATCACGCATATCTCAACAAATAGTAGTAATAATAACAATAATAATAATAATAATAAGTTAAACCTGTTTGAATGCACAGTGCCTGTAATCCTGCCAAGAATGGATTCTCTCAAGACATTTTCTAGACCTCAAAAACGAAAAGGGTGGAAGAGTATGGAGAGAATCTATTCCTCTTCCAAGACATTTTCTTGAGACAAATATGTTTTGATTGCTGAGAATCTACGAAGTTTTGAACTCAAATCCAATAATATTACTTGATAATGTCTCCGATTTTCTATAATCCCGGGAATTGTATTTTCCTATTGCACACACAGTCAAACAGTCTAATGAAATTTGAGTTAGACAGACTTAGATAGAATCATTGTCACCACTTAACCCCAATAGTCTGATTCAAATAATCACCATAAGTCTTTACAAGAACAATTTCCATTTTTGAAGTGATGAAACCTCAAGGAGTCTCTGACAACAATCACAATACCAACAACCTTAGACATATACTTAATGGCATTGTGACAATCACCACATATTCTCAAATTCTTAAAAACCCGTATTGTCGACTGTCCATTCAAATTAAGTATCCCAAAAGCAACAGCAAGCTTCTCACTATGGTTACAAAGACTTTCAGCTTTTTCCTCTTGATCAATATCTTGCAGAACATAATCAGTGTCGGGCTTATATCCAGCCATTTTCATTTTCTTAACCAACTCATACAAAAATTTATAGAGTTTATCACTTTCCATATTACTTTTGTCTCCAACAACAAAAGTATGAATTCTATTTCCCACTTGAAGCCAACTACATCCCGGTGTTTTTGCAATTCCTCTTTCTTTCATCAATATTCTGATTTTTGAAGCCTCACTCCACAATTTGGCAGTAACAAGAATGTTGAATAAAGAAACATAGTTTCCAGGATTGTTAGGCTCAATCTCAAATAGTTTCTTAGCTGAAATTTTCGCCAACTCCACATTCTTATAAACCCTACAAGCACCAAGGAGTGCTCCCCAAGCACTAGCCGTTGGTTCCATAGGCATTCTTTGAATAAACTTGTATGCCTCGTTGAGGCGACCAGCACGGCTATAGATATCAACCACACATGAATAGTGATTTGCATCAGGTTCTACATGATGATCCCTACCCATTGAATTGAATATTTGAATTCCTTCCTCTACTAGCCTTGAATGGCTACAACCTGATAGAACACCAGTAAAAGTAACAGAATTGGGCTTGATCCTTGATAGTAGCATCTTATCAAAGAGAAAAAGCGCTTCTTTTCCATTCCCGTGCATCGCATTCGCAATGATCATTGTGTTCCAAGCAACAACATCTTTTCTATGCATCATATTGAAGACATTCCTTGAAAGATTCAAGTCGCCACATTTAGCATACATATATAATAGAGCTGTTGTGCTTGTCAAGTCTCCAACTTTCCAATGCCTGAAGACATAGCAGTGTATCTCCTTACCCATTCTCAAGCTCTCCGAAAAAAAGCAAGCTGGTAAGATACTACTAACTGTTATTTCATTAGGTTTAAATCCCATTTTTTGCATCTTCCTAAGCATCTCCACTGCCTCCTCTGTTCGTCCATTCTCCATGCATCCACCAATAACAGCATTCCATGTAGCTTCATCTGCTTTGACTCCACCTCTGCTCATCTGCGAAAACAGGGAGAAACCCTTCTCATATTCTTTGTTTGTGAAATATGCTGTTAAAACTCCATTCCAAGACACAACATCTCGACGAGGCATTAAATCAAATACTGCTCGAGCTTCTCTTACACTCAGACATTTTGCATACAAGCTCACAAGTGCACTACAAACAAACACATTTTCTATCATCCCATGTCTCACTGCAAATCCATGAATTGCTTTACCCGATTTCAAATCTTTCAATTCCGAGCAAGCAGGTAAAATGCTAGACACAGTCACCGGATTCGGTTTCACCCCATTCCATCCCATTTCACGAAAAACATTCAGACCCTTCCGCGGAAATCCACAATTAACATAGCAAGAGGACAACGAGGTCCAGGTAACCACATCTCTAACAACCAAATCATCAAAAACAAGTCTTGCACCCTCGACACATTTACATTTACCATATGCATGAATCAACGCATTGGCAACGAAAACATCAGACATCACCCCACACCGAGCCGCATCATCATGAACTTCCTTGACTCTCAAGGCATCACCAGAAGCAGCACAAGCTTTGGCAACAGCCAAGAACACTGGCTTGTGGGGATTGATCCCACGCACCCGCAATGAAGCGTAGATCTTTATGGCCTCATTTGGAAGTCCGTGAGCGGTTAAAGCTGAAATCAGAGTTGAACAGGTTGTGGGGTCTGGTTGAAGAATATTATCAAACAGTTGGTGGGCACGCTTGAAATCACGGGCATTTAAAGCTGCCCTGAGAAGCCTGAGACCAAGGTGAGAAGGGATGTTGGTGGGGAGAGAGGGAGCTAACATTGCTTCAGTGGAATGAAGAGAAGAGGCAAAGAGGGAGAAATGCAAAAACATGAAGTAGACATTTTTGTACGCGGATTCTGTCTTCGGGGGATTTTCAGGTTGAAGTTAAATGTGTACCCAAACAGAAGTGAACGAGTATCTCCTTAAGCAAGTACTTATGTTATTAGCACAACACTCTGCATGAACAAAAACTAAAACAAAAGAAAAATACTTACTTATGTTTCTGTTTCAATATTATTAGTTAGAATGACAAATTATTACATTACTATAAATATTACCTTACCTTTGGCTAATGTAAAAACACACTAAGAATTTGTTAAAAAATTAATATAAATCAAATAAATCGAGATTAAAATCGTGAACTAAATCATTTTTTTAAAGAGTATTTCAAGTACTCTCTTGTATGTCTTATAGTCGAAACGCATAAATATCTAAGATAATTCAACCTTATATTGAATTTGCGCAAAACTGACGAAAACTCGATTATGTAGCGAAGAGTGTTTGGAATTTGTATAAGAGGATTTTCGATTTTGTGATGTGATTTTTGGATTCTGAATAATGTATTTATAGACCATGCATGTGTTGTTTCACAAGTTTGCAACTCTTGATGAAACATCATCTTTTCAGCATAAGAATGTAATGGTTCACCTATAGTTACATTATGCACCACCACTTCATGAAGTGTTGTATATTTTGAATTCGAAATTCAAACTTTCAGTAGCCCGAGACAAATTTAACGGTAACTTCCACTGGTGGATGTTTAGTGCAAAAACTGACAAAAATTTCCTTCAGACAAATTAAAGGCAAATCCCACTAGTGGATGTTTAGTTAAAAAAATGACCAAAATTTCCTTCAGACAGATTTGAAGGTAGTTTCCACTTTTGTCTATGAGACACTTTTATCCTCTTTAACTTTGTCATATTTGAACACACCCATGAACATTAATTGTCCATTAACTTTCAACAATCCTATACTTGTTCTAATAATGACAAGTCTAATTCCAGAAAATGAAGTATAAAGAGCGTTAATACAGTTAGGTATCTTTCGATTTTAAACTTAATCTTAGTGAGAACAACGCAAAGTTTAATCGAAATATTAGGTGACAATGCTTTTAAACCATTAATTCATATGATTAGACCGACATTACCTTACACACACTCTTTAAGGGTTCTTCCCCTACATATCTCGCTTAGCACTTATTTATAGCCATATGCTTTCCTGTTTTATGATTTTTTCGTGAGATAAACTCCAACTCTTTGAGACGACACCATCTCAAAATTCACATATGTGAAATTCATATTGTATCATTTCCATGAGACACATACCCACAGTATTTAACTTTATTAAGAGTTTAAATAAAACTCAACTCTCATTTTAAAGGTCAACATTATCACAAAATGTTCGACAAATATCCAAATCAACGACTTGTTGTTGCCCATTGAATCTTGAGGTTAATTTCTGTTATCGTAAGATTGGGTTGTCGCCGCTGTAGGAACTCTTACTCAAGGAGTTTAAACCTTGTGTCTCTCGAGGTTGTTTTTACTAAGTCTCTGGTCAATGGCTTAATAAATGGATCAAGAAAACTATAATTCGATCGTATATATGTGAATGATTACATCCTTAATCAATCTTCTTACGAAAGAATGTCTAAGTCCTACCGCAATGTATCAACACCTTTGAAACACTGTCTTTAACCAATGGAATTTCCAACAAAAGGTCCCTTAACCATTCAACTTCTTCACCAGCGGAAGCAAGAGACTCAAACTCTAATTCTATGGTTAAGAGAGTGATCCACATTTGTTTCTTGATCTTCCAAGAAATTTCACCCCCAGCTGGTGTAAATATCCACCCAAATGTAGATTTATGATATTCAACACTCAATATCCAACTCAAATTGGTATATCCTTATAATATGGCAGGAAATCTACCATAATGGAGACTAAGGTTTTTGGTTTTCATAAGATATCTGAAATTCCTAATGATGGACTTCCAGTGCTCACAATTTAGATTGCTAGTAAAATCTACTCATTTTACTAATTTTAAAGTTATGTCGGGTCTAGTACATTGTATGCACTTACATATTCCAATTGAGCCACAACTCTTCCATCATATTTTTTGAAGTTTGACACTAGGATCAAATGGAATGTTCACTTCCTTAAAGGTTAAGTGTTTGGACTTATCAAGTAATTTCTCAACATAATGGGTTTGACTAAGTTCGTGTCAACTAGTCCAAGATCATTCATCTTGAATGTGGAAGTTAGAAACCTCTTTATTTCTAAAATTCCATTCATCTCGTTGATAATAATCAATCATATTATCAATATGGAGACAAATAAATATCACAATATTCTCACATAACTTTGTGTACAAACGCCTGTAACAAGAATCAGATAAAGAAGGCTTTTATATAATCATGCATGATGATGCAAGAAGGTTTTAGATGAAGTGAGAGATAAAATTATGAGCAATTAAAAATAGTATAGTATAAATTAAAATAAGAACCTTATTTATGTTCACTTGTCTCAAATATTCACTTGAATTTATATGCTAAACCTTCTTGATCAACTTTATCATTGATGTGCATGCCACTTTTGAACCTTTTCTCCTTTGATAATCTTTGTCTTTATAAAAATTGAACTAGATATAAGATGTATTCCTCACAATCTCTCATTTTTGATGATGAAAAATATTTGAATTTATCTTGTATTATGATTGAAAAAACTTCCTATTAATTTGTGAGTCTTGCAATGACAAAGTCAAACTTTTAATGTCATTGTCTCGATGCTTGTTTTAATCCATAAAAGAATATAACAAGCTTGCACACCTTTTATTCATTACTAGGGTACATAACCTTCTGGTTGCCCCATGCAAATCTGCTCATCGAGATATCTATTTAAGAATGTCATTTTGACATCCATTTGATGAATTATAAGGTCATGCTAAGAAACTAATGCAAACAATACTCTAATTTTTGCCGTCTTTGCTACTAGTGCATATGTCGAAATAATCAACACTTTCCTTTTTTTTTTTCTTTCTAAAACTCTTAGTTACTAATCTATCATTGTAGGTGTTTAGTGTATCATCATTATGATACTTCATTCTAAATACCCACTTACATTCAATGGGTCTTGATCTTTTAGTTAGATCAACAAATTCCCAAGTGTGGTTTGAGATTATTGAATCTATTTTGTCTTGGATATCATTATTCCAAAAGGAGGAGTCCCTTGAAGCTAATGCTTTCCTATAAGTCTTAGGATCATCTTTCACGGAAAGAATAATATGAATTTTCCAAACAAAATTTTCACAGTTTCCTTCTACAAGATAAAAGAAAATAAATAAATTATCGATTTTTTTTGGTCCTATATCCTTAACCTTTCATACTCTCTTGCTTATTCTAATTTCGGGTTTTTTTTCAACAATCTTGCCGAACTTTTGGTTTGTATTTTAATAATTCCTGGAGAACATTTCTCATGAGGTTCTTCATTTGTGGAAATTTTAAATTCCTTATCCTCCGTGATAAGGTTCTAAAAATAATTATTCCATATCTCAGAATTCAATAGTTACATTAGACTCCAAATTCAAAAGTCTATCTAAGTCATGATTTATTTTCTAATGATCTTTATATATCTTATAATAATAATTTTTTATCAAATAAAAGCGTATTTTTCGCTAATTAAATCACAAAATTTAGAATCATATATTCATGGACATGTGAAAAGAATTGTTTACTTTGCATATAAAAATAAATATTATGACTACTTTGCGTCATTTCAATTGTATAAATATTTCAATTTTCTATGTTACTGAATGACACCATAATATATACATACAATAGACTAAAATATATATATATTAACCATTAAAAAACATATGTATATATGTATATCCAGTTTAAATTACGGTTCGTATCAATTAACCATTATAGGAAAATCATAATATCGATAATTTTAATTCGAAATTAAAAAAATACTATATTTGAATATTTATATTATGATTTTCACATTTTTATGAATTTCTATAAAAATAATAAAACATACTCGAATTCATAATAGTGATTCTTCTTGCTTTTCGAATGTGTCCACGATACAACGATTCGTCATTTATGTTTGAAACGAAAGTCTCGATTGTCATTATAAATACTTTTAAATTTGTTATAAAATTAATATAAATCAAATTGATCGAGGCTAGAATCCTGAACGAAATTCCTTTCCTTAAAAGTATTTCAAACACTCTCTTGTATGTCTTACAATCGCAACGCAGGAATACCCAGAATAATTCATCCACATAACGAATTTACGCAAGACCGACGTAAACTCGATTATGTAAAGAAGAATGTTTGGTATTTGTACAAAAGGATTTTCGATTTTGTGATGTGGTTTTTGGATTCTGAATAATGTATTTATAGGTCATGCATGTGTTGTTTGACAATTTCGTAACTCTTGATGAAACAACACCTTTTCAGCATAATATTGCAATGGTTCGCCTATTGTAACACCCTAAATAAACCCCCGTAATATTCTTAACTAAAACATCAGAGTAATTAAAGAAACACACGAAACTTAGGATGTTACGACCATCGTACAAAACCTATACATTATTTTTGAAGGTGTGAGAAAACACAAGAAATGGGGGTTTGAATTGAGTTTTCAAAAATGAAAGATTTTTGTGAAACTCAAACAAAGATCAAAAATAAACTAATCAAGAAAGAAAGACACACGATATCCTGGCTCACTTGAAAACTATCAAGCTAATCCAGTCCACCTGCCAAGGTGATTTCTCCTTAACACAAGGACTTAATCCACTATAATCAACAGATTACAACGCACTAGAAACCACTGGTCACTAACAACTCAGACAACCGTCTTTTCTTAAGGATTCAGACCCAACTGGTCCCTTAAGGAAATGCAAACTGCACAAGCAACCGCTGGTGACTAACAACAAAGACTAACCATCTCTTCTTAAGAATACAGACCTAACCGGTCCTTTAAGGAGTTACAAAC